CCGTTGGGCTCGGCGGCGGGGGCGGGGGGCTCTTCCCGGGGCGGCGGGGGGCTGGGGGAGGCAGGTTTGGCGGGCTCTTCGGGGGCCTGCAGTACGACGGGCGGCGGCGGCGAGGGGGTGGCCGGCAGCAGGGGCACAGCTGGCATCGGGGGGACAACGGGCACCATGGGTACCTCGGGGGGCAGGGGCGCCTGCGGGGTGGGTTCCGGGAGGGGAATGGCGGCCACCACCTCCTCCTCCTCCGCAGCCACCGTGGGCACCGTGTCCATGTCGGGCGTGGGCAGGAGGGGCTCCGCGGGCCCTGGCACTGTAGTGATGGCGCTAAACGTCTTGTGTGGGTCGGGCGGCGCCTCGCCCGGCTCCCCTTTAGTGTCCGCGTCCACGGGGGGCTCCATTGGCACCAGCGTCACCGCCGAGAGCACCACGGGCTCCACCTCGGGGATGAGGGGAGGGGGAGGTGACGGGGACGCCGACTTGCTGGGCTCCAGGGAGACGGGCTTGCTCACCACCAGCGCGGGCTTCGGGCGGTCATCTGCAAGGGGGGGCATTAGTAGGGGTGTCCCTGATCCCCCACTCACCCCACATCCCCCCCTCCCCAGATCCCTCCACCCGCAGGAGGGGTAGGGACAGACGTGCCAACCTTCAACCCACACCACAAACGGGTGACAGGGACAACAGGGGGGTCCCTCAGTGCCCAGGGGACAGCTGGGGCGAGCAGACAGCCCCCCACAAACTCTCCTAGACCCAGCATGGGGACACCAGTCCCCAGGTGTGCAGGGAACAGCAGGGCTGGCACCTCACACCCCCAGTGGCAACACCAGGGAGCCCAGCAGTAGCCGTGCCAACCCCCAGCGGTGGCACTTACCTGGCCGGACAATAACTGCTACATGGGGGGTCTCTCCGTTGGCCTGGGGCTCCAAACCGCTTCCAGCCTAGGGTGGGGGGCAAAGAGGGAGCTCAGCAGTGCCCCGTGCGCACCCCACTGCCCCCCTCAGGGTGCCCCCTTACCTGTGGAGGGGTGGGGGTGGATGAGGTCCTTGCTCCGGACATGATTTCTTCGGTGATGTCTTTGCCACCTTGGTTGGGGTCTCGTATCCGGATCTGCCCGTGAGTCGGGGGTAGAGAGGGTGGAAGCTGTCAGTGGGGTGGAGGATACCCCACAGGGGAACATCCCCCTTTGCCTGGGCCCAGGACACCCCCAGAACATCCCCTTCTCTGAGGGGACAAGCTCATCCAGCGCCATGCCTGCCCCATGGGACAGGGGTGGACCATTCAGGGACCAGCAGGTGCCACCTCCTGTCCCCACGGGGGACAGCCCCCCACCCCAGTCACCGTCCTGTCCCGACACCCGGCGGGCACGGGGCAGGGACAGCGCGGGGCAGGGACAGCCCTACAAGCCACTGTGACAGTGGGGCCAGCACCAGGTCCCCAGGCCAGCGCCCATCTCCGGGGGACGGGGGATGAGGCATCACCACACTGGCACAGGGACTGCGGGGACACTCCCCTGCCTCGGGGACCAGCCTCAACACACAAAAGTCCTGGTGGCAAGCTGCGTGACACCCTGCTTGCCCACAGCACCGCTGGCCCTGTGCCTGCCGCGGGTGCAGGAGCCATGGGGGAAATCCTGCTGGGGGGAGGAAGTTGGGGGCACAGGTGGGTCCAGGACTCCGGTGGGGGACAGCGGATCTTGTCCATGCACCCCCAAACCTGACCTGCTCTCAAAGTGGAGCTGAAGGGACACCAAGGTCCCTCTGCCGAGGAAATGCCAGCCCCCCTCCCACCCCCAGCAGCACTTCCCAGATCCCCGCGATAGCAGGGGTCCGGTGGGAGCTGCTGGGGAGGGGGGGTGGTGCTTGCATTTCCGCAGGGCCGTGCCCATCTCCCAACTATAAATAGGCCCCGTGCGAGGCCTCCGAGCACCGGCATCTCCGGGAGCAGACAGCAGTTGGCAGC